GGTGCCCAGTTCTCACTATATCTACGAAACTTTGGGAGATGCTCCCGGCAGACCCGGACAACCTCAAATCGAGCACATAACTGGGGAAATATTCAAGGTATTTTGGGATCCTGCGAAAAGTAATGGAGCCACCATAACAGAATACAGTCTCGAGGCTTTACAGGCCAGACAACATAAAAGAATAAGACGCAATATAGTAACACCAGCTAACAATACCTCTAACACCTCCTTCAACGCGTCCTCTATTACCCGTTTAGCTCAAATGCCTTGGGTAGAGGAATTGCAGCCTTTGGAAGATAAATGGCTGTCGTATTGCAATACCTCAGAACTAAGTTGTATAGTACGTGAGTTGCACACTATGCGTTTCTTAATGTTTCGTGTGCGTGCACGTAATGAACCCTATGGCTGGGGGCCTTACAGTGAGGATAGTGAACGTGTATTGGAACCATTTGTCTCACCACAAAAACGTAACTCATTAGTGTTGGCCATTATAGCGCCGGCTGCCATAGTAACCACCTGTGTTATCATACTAATTGTCATACGTAAAGGTAAGAAAACACATACAAACACTCATACACATACACAGCGATAAAGTTCAATTCAATAATGTAAATCATTATTATTCTTGTTTTTTTTTTTTTTGGTTAGTACAAAAACGTCGCCTGAAAGCCAAACAATTATTGGCTAAAAGTCGTCCTAGTATTTGGAGTAATTTGTCTACTATGCAACAGCAATTGGCAGCACGTAATAGAGCATTTTCTATGACCAGTGCTTCGACCATGTATACAGGTGGTCCTTTGAGTGATGCTGATATTGCTCTATTGCCGCATATTAATTGGAGTCAAATTACTTTGTTGAATTTTCTGGGCAGTGGAGCATTTGGTGAGGTATACGAGGGTATGCTGAAGCATGAGGATGAGGAGGAAATGGAAAAGGTGGCCATAAAGGTGAGAGATAAGAAGAATCAATCAGTTCTAGTTCTGGTTCTGTTCTAGTTCTGTTCTAGTTCTGTTCTAGTTCTGTTCTAGTTCTGTTCTAGTTCTGTTCTAGTACTGTTCTAGTTCTGTTCTAGTTCTGTTCTAGTTCTGTTCTAGTTCTGTTCTAGTTCTGTTCTAGTTCTGTTCTAGTTCTGTTCTAGTTCTGTTCTAGTTCTAGTTCTGTTCTAGTTCTGTTCTAGTCTGTTCTAGTTCTGTTCTAGTTCTGTTCTAGTTCTGTTCTAGTTCTGTTCTAGTTCTGTTCTAGTTCTGTTCTAGTTCTGTTCTAGTTCTGTTCTAGTTCTGTTCTAGTTCTGTTCTAGTTCTGTTCTAGTTCTGTTCTAGTTCTGTTCTAGTTCTGTTCTAGTTCTGTTCTAGTTCTGTTCTAGTTCTGTTCTAGTTCTGTTCCTAGTTCTGTTCTAGTTCTGTTCTAGTTCTGTTCTAGTTCTGTTCTAGTTCTGTTCTAGTTCTGTTCTAGTTCTGTTCTAGTTCTGTTCTAGTTCTAGTTCTGTTCTAGTTATAGTTCTGTTCTAGTTATAGTTCTGTTCTAGTTCTGTTCTAGTTCTGTTCTAGTTCTGTTCTAGTTCTGTTCTAGTTCTGTTCTAGTTCTGTTCTAGTTCTGTTCTAGTTCTGTTCTAGTTCTGTTCTAGTTCTGTTCTAGTTCTGTTCTAGTTCTGTTCTAGTTCTGTTCTAGTTCTGTTCTAGTTCTGTTCTAGTTCTGTTCTAGTTCTGTTCTAGTTCTGTTCTAGTTCTGTTCTAGTTCTGTTCTAGTTCTGTTCTAGTTCTGTTCTAGTTCTGTTCTAGTTCTGTTCTAGTTCTGTTCTAGTTCTGTTCTAGTTCTGTCTAAGTTCTGTTCTAGTTCTGTTCTAGTTCTGTTCTAGTTCTGTTCTAGTTCTGTTCTAGTTCTGTTCTAGTTCTGTTCTAGTTCTGTTCTAGTTCTGTTCTAGTTCTGTTCTAGTTCTGTTCGAGTTCTGTTCTAGTTCTGTTCTAGTTCTGTTCTAGTTTCTAGTTGTTCTAGTTCTGTTCTAGTTATGTTCTAGTTCTGTTCTAGTTCTGTTCTAGTTCTGGTTCTGTTCTGTTCTAGTTCTGTTCAGTTCTAGTTCTGTTCTAGTTCTGTTTCTAGTTCTGTTCTAGTTCTGTTCTAGTTCTGTTCTAGTTCTGTTCTAGTTCTGTTCTAGTTCTGTTCTAGTTCTGTTCTAGTTCTGTTCTAGTTCTGTTCTAGTTCTGTTCTAGTTCTGTTCTAGTTCTGTTCTAGTTCTGTTCTAGTTCTGTTCTATTGTTCTGTTTCTAGTTCTGGTTCTAGTTCTGTTCTAGTTCGTTCTAGTTCTGTTCTAGTTCTGTTCTAGTTCTGTTCTAGTTCTGTTCTAGTTCTGTTCTAGTTCTGTTCTAGTTCTGTTCTAGTTCTGTTTCTAGTCTTCTAGTTCTGTTCTAGTTCTGTTCTAGTTCTGTTCTAGTTCTGTTCTAGTTATGTTCTAGTTCGGTCCCAGTTCATGTCTACAGTCTCTTTTATTCTATTTATTTGTATGAATTGCCTTTTCAGAGTCTTCGAAGGGCGCCAGTGAATTTGCTGAGCTTTTACAGGAAGCTCAACTGATGAGTAATTTCAAACATGAGAACATAGTGCGCCTAATAGGAGTCTGCTGTGATACTGAATCAATTTCCATTATAATGGAGCATATGGAAGGAGGAGACCTCCTCAGTTACCTAAGAGAGTCAAGACCCAATTCAACGGTAAAAAAACGATTTCATTAAAAATTGCTTTTGAAAGCACAAGATTTTTTTTTAATTTTTCAGAAACCAGTAGCCTCCTTACAACTCTTAGACCTAATGACCATGTGCATAGATGTAGCCACCGGTATGGCCTATTTGGAGGATATGCATTTTGTTCATCGTGATTTGGCATGTCGCAATTGTCTGGTTTCATCACGTATACCCAGTAAGAGAACGGTGAAAATTGGGGACTTCGGTTTAGCTAGAGATATATATAAAAATGATTACTATCGCAAGGAGGGAGAGGCCCTTATGCCGGTACGTTGGATGGCTCCCGAAAGTCTAGTGGATGGTGTTTTTACCACACAATCAGATGTCTGGGCTTTTGGTGTATTATGCTGGGAAATCTTGACTTTGGGGCAACAGCCTTATGCTGCTCGAAATAATTTTGAAGTCTTAAATTTTGTCAAGGAAGGAGGCAGACTAGAGCAGCCGGATAATTGCCCAGATAAATTGTGAGTTTGTAGTATATACTTTAAGAAGTCAAATAATTTTCTTTGATTCTTATCCCAGATTCTCTTTAATGTCTGCCTGTTGGCAAACAGACCCCGATGAACGTCCCACCTTTCGCAAATGCTTTAACTCTTTGCTGGCCATCAAAACCGATGTACGACGTGTTAGTTTGGGTTACAATATCGATGACAGTGATTATGCCATGTATGCCAATCAACATGGCATAGTCTTAAGTAGTTTCTTAGCCTCTCCGCCTCTTAATAAGGTCAAAGAAGAAGAAGAAGAACTGGAGGCACCACTTCAGGAGAACACCAAGGATATTAACAAACAAAGTCACAAATATGAAATGAGACAAAATTCCTTAAATAGTCAAAATGAAGAGGAATCCATTTTGGCCAATAATCATATACAAGACAAAGCCCTTGAGTCCATAACCGATAAAAATGATTTGAAAGTTCGTTTTAATAACAACATTTCCATGAGAGATGCCGAGGAGCCGGAATCTTTGAATGATGAGTCACATTTAATAGACACTAAGTTATATAGAATACAAGAAAATCCTGATTATTATGTTAATGAGGGTGTATCCCGTTTATAGATGGGTTAGCAGGGATCAAATCGAAAAGCCAAATAATCATTGAAATCATTTAGTTGTAATTAATTTAAGCATCGAATCTACGAATTTTTTCTTTTTAAGAGACTGTTTTTTAAGAAAGGTTTTTCAATTGTTTATTGTTGTAAGTGTAAAAAGATTATTTATATGTAAAAGTTTTTCTAATAAAAAAAGTTCAAATTTGTACAAAATCAGGAACAAATGCCACATTTTTTATATGAAGGTATGGTCAAGCATGATGTGTAAATGGAAAAGAAGAAGTAAATTCAGTTGCAGTTTAACTGCAGTTTCAGTTCTAGTTCAGTTCTAGTTCAGTTCTAGTTCAGTTCTAGTTCAGTTCTAGTTCAGTTCTAGTTCAGTTCTAGTTCAGTTCTAGTTCCAGTTCTAGGTTCAGTTCTAGTTCAGTTCTAGTTCAGTTCTAGTTCAGTTCTAGTTCAGTTCTAGTTCAGTTTCTAGTTCAGTTCTAGTTCAGTTCTAGTTCAGTTCTAGTTCGTTTAGTTCAGTTCTAGTTCAGTTCTAGTTCAGTTCTAGTTCAGTTCTAGTTCAAGTTCTAGTTCAGTTCTAGTTCAGTTCTAGTTCAGTCTAGTTCAGTTTCTAGTTCAGTTCTATTTCAGTTCTAGTTCAGTTCTAGTTCAGTTCTAGTTCAGTTCTAGTTCAGTTCTAGTTCAGTTCTAGTTCAGTTCTAGTTCAGTTCTAGTTCAGTTCTCGTCAGTTCAGTTCAGTTCTAGTTCAGTTCTTAGTTCAGTTCTAGTTCAGTTTCAGTTCAGTTCTAGTTCAGTTCCTTCAGTTCTAGTTAGTTCTAGTCCAGTTCTAGTTCAGTTCTAGTTCTAGTTCAGTTCTAGTTCAGTTCTAGTTCAGTTCTTGTTCAGTTCTTAGTTCAGTTCTAGTTCAGTTCTAGTTTAGTTCTAGTTCAGTTCTAGTTCAGTTTCTAGTTCAGTTCTAGTTCAGTTCTAGTTCAGTTCTAGTTCAGTTCTAGTTCAGTTTCTAGTTCAGTTCTAGTTCAGTTCTAGTTCAGTTCTAGTTCAGTTCTAGTTCAGTTCTAGTTCTGTTCTAGTTCAGTTTCTAGTTCAGTTCTAGTTCAGTTCTAGTTCAGTTCTAGTCCTGTTCTAATTTTGTTCTAGTTCTATTGGTTGCAAGTTAAGCAATATTTTATTCCCTAATCCTTAAAATAATCCTTTAAATTTTCTTTTGTCTTCAAAATCTGTGTCATAATATTATTTAATTCAATTTAATGTGCAGCATAATGGTTGTTTCCCTTGCTCTTGTCATTTTGACATGTTTTCACAATTTTTTTGTTATTACTAAAGAATTTATTTAAACTCTAAACAGCAAAAACAAACATCAGCTTTGTATGTCTAAATTGTTGTTGTGAGCTTTGTTTTTTTCGTTATGTCTTTTCACCAACGGCATTATACTCTTTACTGGAATTATTATGTAAATGTGCAACATATTGTATTGTATTTCGTTTTGTTGAACAAAAATTTAAAACAAAAAAAAAAAAAAAAAAAAAAAAAAAAAAAAAATTGCAACAAATAGTAACAAGAGAAAGAAAAAGTTTTGTTTTGTTACTGTAAATATGCTTGTAACAGCTCATGGTTGTAGTTTAGTTGGCTGTGTTGGTTAGGTTTCATCATAATGCAGTCGTAACATAACTTTGTGTTTACGTAAATTGCTCCGCACACCCATGTTGCAATGGCTTAGTAGATTTTTTTTTTTTGGTATTTACAAAACATAAGCAAAGTAGTTATTCAAAACATATCACATATTATTGTTACCAGTTACGGGAGTGAGAAGTAGCTTAAAGTTTAGTAGAGTTTATTTTAATACGTTCTATAATCAAATGTCTGAAAAATAGCAGTAAAATGCAAAAGTCTGAATGCATACGTGCAGGCGCAACACACACAAACAAGCTTATACAAGTATAGACCTGTAGACAAATTTTGCAAATAACAAGTGATAATAACAATTGCAACATGTGTACAAAGTGAAAAGAGTAAACAAAAGTTAATAAGAAAAAAAGAAACATTTATAAAACAAAAACTTATTATTGCAGACGGTTTGGGAACAGACCGAAATTTATGAAAGTGAACCGAACTAGAACTGAACTAGAACCGAACTAAAATTGACATGGAACAGTGTTAAACTAAAACTGAACTAGAACTGAACTAGAATTGAACTGGAACTGAACTAGAACTGAACTAGAACTGAACTAGAACTGAACTAGAACTGAACTAGAACTAAACTAGAACTGAACTAGAACTGAACTAGAACTGAACTAGAATTGAACTAGAACTGAACTAGAACTAACTAGAACTGAACTAGAACTGAACTAGAACTGAACTAGAACTGAACTAGAACTGAACTAGAACTGAACTAGAACTGAACTAGAACTGAACTAAAACTGATCTAAAACTGATCTAGAACTGAACAAGAACTGAACAAGAACTGAACTAGAACTGAACTAGAACTGAACTAGAACTGAACTAGAACTGAACTAGAACTGAACTAGAACTGACTAGAACTGAACTAGAACTGAACTAGAACTGAACTAGAACTGAACTAGAACTGAACTAGAACTAAACTAGAACTGAACTAGAACTGAACTAGAACTGAACTAGAACTGAACTAGAACTGAACTAGAACTGAACTAGAACAGAACTAGAACTGAACTAGAACTGAACTAGAACTGAACTAGAACTGAACTAGAACTGAACTAGAACTGAACTAGAACTGAACTAGAACTAGAACTGAACTAGAACTGAACTAGAACTAAACTAGAACTGAACTAGAACTGAACTAGAACTGAACTAGAATTGAACTAGAACTGAACTAGAACTAAACTAGAACTGAACTAGAACTGAACTAGAACTGAACTAGAACTGAACTAGAACTGAACTAGAACTGAACTAGAACTGAACTAGAACTGAACTAAAACTGATCTAAAACTGATCTAGAACTGAACAAGAACTGAACAAGAACTGAACTAGAACTGAACTAGAACTGAACTAGAACTGAACTAGAACTGAACTAGAACTGAACTAGAACTGAACTAGAACTGAACTAGAACTGAACTAGAACTGAACTAGAACTGAACTAGAACTGAACTAGAACTGAACTAGAACCGAACTAGAACTGAACTAGAACTGAACTAGAACTGAACTAAAACAGAACTAGAACAGAACTAGAACAGAACTAGAAACAGAACTAGAACAGAACTAGAACAGAACTAGAACAGAACTAGAACAGAACTAGAACAGAACTAGAACAGAACTAGAACAGAACTAGAACAGAACTAGAACAGAACTAGAACAGAACTATAACAGAACTAGAACAGAACTAGAACAGAACTAGAACAGAACTAGAACAGAACTAGAACAGAACTAGAACAGAACTAGAACAGAACTAGAACAGAACTAGAACAGAACTAGAACAGAACTAGAACAAACTAGAACAGAACTAGACAGAACTGAACAGAACTAGAACAGACTAGAACAGAACTAGAACAGAACTAGAACAGAACTAGAACAGAACTAGAACAGAACTATAACAGACTAGAACAGAACTAGAACAGAACTAGAACAGAACTAGAACAGAACTAGAACAGAACAAACTAGAACAGAATAGAACAGAACTGAACAGAACTAGAACAGAACTAGAACAGAACTAGAACTGAACTAGAACTGAACTAGAACTGAACTAGAACTGAACTAGAACTGAACTAGAACTGAACTAGAACTGAACTAGAACTGAACTAGAACTGACTAGAACTGAACTAGAACTGAACTAGAACTGAACTAGACTAACTAGAACTGAACTAGAACTGAACTAGAACTGAACTGAACTGAACTAGAACTGAACTAGAACTGAACTAGAACTGAACTAGAACTGAACTAGAACTGAACTAGAACTGAACTAACTGAACTAAACTGAACTAAACTGAACTAGAACTGAACAAACTGAACTAGAACTGAACTAGAACTGAACTAGAACTGAACTAGAACTGAACTAGAACTGAACTAGAACTGAACTAGAACTGAACTAGAACTGAACTAGAACTGAACTAGAACTGAACTAGAACTGAACTAAACTGAACTAAACTGAACTAGAACTGAACTAGAATGAACTAGAACTGAACTAGAACTGAACTAGAACTGAACTAGAACTGAACTAGAACTGAACTAGAACTGAATTAGAACTGAACTAGAACTGAACTAGAACTGAACTAGAACTGAACTAGAACTGACTTAGAACTGACTAGAACTGAACTAGAACTGAACTAGAACTGAACTAGAACTGAACTATGAACTGAACTGAGAACTGAACTTAGAACTGAACTAGAACTGAACTAGAACTAGAACTGAACTAGAACTAGAACTGAACTAGAACTGAACTAGAACTGAACTAGAACTGAACTAGAATCTGAACTAGAACTGAACTAGAACTGAAACGAGAACTGAACTAGAACTGAACTAGAACTGAAACTATGAACTGAACGAGAACTGAACTAGAACAGAACTAGAACGAACTAGAACAGAACTAGAACAGAACTAGAACAGAACTAGAAGCAGAACTAAGAACAGAACTAAGAACTGAACCGAGAACTGAGAACTAGAACAGAACTAAAAACTAGAACTAGAACTGAACTAGAACTAGAACTGGAAGCTTGAACTAGATAATAATAATTTCCATTAAGAATGTTGAGGTTAACAGTAAGTATACTTATTTTTTTAAATATCAAGATAAAAAAACCACTCATACGCAGTGGGAGATAAATTCAGCAAGAAATTAAAACATTAAAGAAGGAAAGTCGCATTATTAACTATTTACTAGAATTTTTTGCCGGCCAGTCAGTCAAGTGTTATAATTTATTCTGTTTTTCACATTTTTTAAATCTGCTTTTTTTTACATTTTCTCTTTAAAAAAAAAACCATTAACCACACACATGTCTATGGAAGAAAATCAGAAAAAATCAAATACCACAATTGTAAATAGCAGCAAAAACAACCAAATAACAAACAAAAACCACAGTGAAAAATATCAACAAACTGCAGAAAGATGCCAATGGCATGTTTTTGCGTCAGAGAGTAGAGAGAAAAGGGGGCAAAATTTTTAATTTCCTTGGTTTTGGAAAAAGCACATAACAAAAACAACAACAAAAGCAGAAAGTTATAACAGCAAACATGTCATATTTC